CCAGCATCCCCATGGCCACGTGATTTATGTTCAGATGCTTGACAACTCACTCACATTTATGACGGTTGCAGTGTGGTGGGATTCAAAAATTTTTACTGCCAGTTCTGTGGGCGTGGCTTGGTGGGCAAAGTACAGCTTGGTGGGTGTGGCTTTGTGGGCATGGCAGGGGAAGGTTACTGTAAAATCCCCATTCCCTCCCGATCAGGTGGGATTCAGGAGGAAGAGAATAGATGGGGGCGGGGCCAGTCAGAGGTGGTATTTACCAGTTCTCCAAACTACTCAAAATTTCCACTACCAGTTCTTCAGAACTGGTCAGAACCTGCTGAATACCACCTCTGAGTAACAGGGTCGTTAAGTGAATCTGATTTTCTCATTAACTTTACTTGTCAGAAGGTTGCAAAACATGACCCCACCACACTGCAACCGTCATAAATGTGAGTGAGTTGTCAAGCATCTGAACATAAATCACGTGGCCATGGGGATGCTGGAATGGTCATAAGTGTGAAAAAGGGTCATAAGTCACTTTTTTCAGTGCAGTTGTAACTTAGAACAGTCACTAAATGAACTGTTGTAAGTCAAGGACTACCTGGATTATCTAGGAGGAATGCTGGCTTATTGTTATTGATACTTAGATATTTTATTCATTTTTCTAGCATTATTATACCGTGTTGAATTTTTTAATATATAACCCTCCTCTATGCAAAGACAAAATAACTTTTGTTTTAAATGAAAGATAGATAAATAAGTATTTTGCTTATTAATAATTTGGCTAAGAATATCCTGTAAAAACACTGCTTTACCTCTCACTACATTTGTGGAAATATCCAGGTTTCAATTTGCTAACAAATTTTTCAGTTTGCTATTTCAATTCTGTTATTTCTTTGAGCCCAAACTCTTGACTATTTTAATAATTTGTGTCAGCAGAACAGCTTTATTTACAGACTTCCCACTGAAGTCTCTTAAAAAGGCAGCTTCGTGGTTGTTGTTTTTTAAAATTCAAATTAATTTTCTGCTGTGTGACCCAGGCAGATCCTTCTTTCACAGTTAGGTCAATGTAGGACCTGCTATGAGGTCCTGGGAAGGAGTTCTGAACCAGCCATCCTGGAAGCCTGGAAGTCCACCAAGTAGTACACTCATACCAGTGGTGGGATTCAATTTTTTTTTACTACCGGTTCTGTGGGCATGGCTTGGTGTGTGTGGCAGGGAAAGGATACTGTAAAATCTCTATTCCTTCCCTACTCCAGGGGAAGGTTACTGCAAAATCCCCATTCCTGCCTGATCAACAGGGACTGTGGAAGCTGAGAATAGATGGGGACAGAGCCAGAGGTGGTATTTACCGGTTCTTTAAACTACTCAAAATTTCCACTACTGGTTCTCCAGAACTAGTCAGAACCTGTTGAATACCACCTCTGACTCAAACCCATCAGGCAGTAGCTCTCAGACATTGAGTCACCCGGAGCTACTTCACTCTCTGTGTACAGCTTGAGCTGTTCTTTCAAGCTCTTCCTGATTTCTCTTTTTCTCCCTACAGGTGAGGAGACCAGTGGCTCCGGTAGTGGAAGCGGCTGTACAGATGACATTTGTCCAACGGAATTTGAATTCATCACCACAGAAACTCCTCTCATTGACTCAGGCAGGAGGGAAGTGGACTCTTCAGCCAGCCAGCCAAGCCCATCTGTCCTCACAGGCTTCCTCCTTCTTACAGTCTTTCTCCTGCAAAGACACTGCAGATAATCCCGGCTCCAGTCAGCTCTGACTGCCTTTTAGCTATTGAAAAAGAACAGAACAGCCAATTAGCTCCTTTTCTGATGCCCTCAGACAATGGACCACACCACCAACCCTTACGGTTTTCTACCAGAAGGAAGCGGCCCTGCACCCTGCCGCATTTTGGCACTTTCACGGAGAGTGTGCCGGGGCCTAGAAGAGCCTCTTCTGGTTTCCATCTGGGGAAGGCGATGTCTGCTTCTCAGCGATCTCTTCTCTCACACTTTTATTCTAGAAGACTTTTCGGAATATGATTTGCTTTTATGCCTCAGAAAGAAAAAAAGGGGGGGTGGAGATTTAGGGGACCCGACATGGGCTTTTATTTTTATTTCTTTTTTTTTCCATTACAAAGAAAAAGAGAACAGAAAGAAGAAACATGTTGAAAATAAAGCTATTCCAAGGCCGAATAATAAGCACATACATATGCACCCACAGGAAAGCCAAGCCTTCTTATCTAGGACACTTCTGTATTGCACTTCAAATCACCAAAATGATGTTAAGTCACTGAGAGAATATCTTGGAGTGTGGTGTTTTGTTTTGGGGGTTTTTTTGTAACACAGGTCTAACTATGTTTATTCTTAACTGTCAAACAGAAGAGTTGGCGGAGAGGTTTGAAACAGAAATAGGACACTTTCTGAGAACAAGAGTAGCACCTTTCTGTCCCTTTGCTCTCACCAGTTTGTGTTTGACAACTACCCTGTTTCCCAAAAAATAAGAGCTCCCCAGATAATAAGCCCAATCGGGCTTTTGAGTGCATGCGCTAAAATAAGCCCTCCCCTGAAAATAAGCCCTCCCCGAAAATATTGCAACACAGCAGCAGCCATGAGGTCACCACGCCCGCCACCTCCTGAACCTCAAAAATAATAAGACCTCGCAGAAAAGAAGGCCAAGTGCTTATTTCGGGGGAGGGGGGATAAGACTCTGTCTCATTTTTGTGGAAACACGGTAAGGTTTTTGTTGCAGTTGGTTGAACCCATGTTACAACATGGGCATAGGAGTGAGTGCCTTTTGGGGGTATCTGCAGGACGGTGCCAAAAAATATCAAAATGGCAGCCATGATCATGTAATTGAAGCCCCTCCTCTTTTTAGAGGCCTATTGTGTTCATAGATTACACATAAAAAGGAGTGGGGCTTCAATCACATGCCTGTACCCCAATCTTGGCATTTTTAACAAACCTCTGCAGACACACACACCCTATCACTACCCATCCACAGCATTTTTTTAACAATTCTTGAATTTAAAACATTTAAACCCCACCCCCCCCATACACAAATCTTTTACGATATACAGTAATCTTTCTTACTTTCACTTTTGATCTCGAACAGAATTTTCTGAACCTGTGTTATTCAACATACCCAAATGGTCAATTTAAAAGCAGCCAATAATAGTAATTGGATCAATATCTTAACTTTTCATAGAAATGACTTTCTTCCTATTGTTTGTTGTATCAAAAGGGAATTCTCTTGCTGAACTATTGACACTCCTACATGTGCACGAACTCACACAAATATCTATATATATATACATATATAATATATATAGTACTGACACTCCGAATTTCTTTCACTTTTTTAGTCTTAGTACGGCCATCTATTTTTATATATATGAATATAAATATAAATATATATATAAAAATCACAGATTTTAACTTCTTAATTACAAGCTCAGGGTTGACACATCTTTGTAGTGGGGAAATGTTTTGTCAACCAGCTTTTTGTGTGTATGTGTTGCTTGGGTAAATGTCATCCTTTCATTATTGACAAGTGCAAAAGTCAAAGAGGAGACTTTCTGCCCATTTCTTTATAGCAGGAATACACAATCATTTTTTTCTGCAATCTGCATTTAGTCTTTGAATGGTATGTTGTCATGGAACCGCATACACAGAGGACATATATGGTCCCCAATGAGAAAAAAATAGTTTCAATCAAATTTTCCTTAAAATAAGTTAATTAAATACAATTCAAATACAGGTAGTCGTCACTTAACATCTGCCTCGTACGGCAGATGCTTGCTGTTACTTTGATGAAAAAGTAACATTGCAACTAGTTCTCCTATTCATCAACTTTGCAGGTCTGTAAAGCAAAGGAAGCTGAAATAAGATCATAAGCGCAATTGCAGTTTCACTTAGCGATCACTTCACAGTCTCAGTTGTGGTCGCTACACTAGGATTACCTGTATTCCAGTGGTGGACTTCCATTTTTTTACTACCGGTTCATGCATGCAACACTTTTGCGCATGCGCAGAAGCATCCGGGCAGGTGGGCTGAGCCTCCCAACGCCACCACTACCAGTTTGCCCAATCCAGGCCAATCCAGGAGCAACCCACCTCTGCTGTATTCCCCATACATTTGATAATTTCTACCTTTGGTCCTGTTAAAGCAGGAGTGTCCAACTCAAGGCCCACAGGCCAGATGTAGCCCATAGGGTGCTTAGATCTGGCCTGCGGGGCTGCCCTAGAAACAGCGAAGGACTGGTCCATGGTGCCACTACCAGTGAATATAGAGCATGGGAGGACCACGCGCAGCCCTCCAGGCTCCGTTTTTGGCCACGGCCTCCTGCAGCCCTCTGCCAGCAAAAATGGATTATGGGGACGCTGTACACAGCCCGCCCGGGCTCAGTTTTTGACTGTAATGACCTCTTGCAGCCCTCTGCCAGTGAAAACAGAGCCTCAACGAGTGATATTGAGCTGGCCATGCCTGCCATGGCCATGCCTCCCTGGTCCCCCAAGGTCAAGCACAACTTTGATGTGGCCCTCAATGAAATTGAGTTTGACACTCCTGTGTTAAGGTATTAATCTGGAGTAATTTTGGAGACTCTCTGAAGTCTCCCGTCCAATCGTTGTGGGTTTGCATAAGTTCCACATGGACAGGGAAGGTGTCCAAAAAGTCAAGTATGCTTTTTTGTGATACCATATAGACAATTCATGCAAAAAAAAAGGATTTTAACCACATGGTACCTTGATTTTTTTTGGACAAACTGTCTATGGAAGCCCCTTGCAGGGGTAACTCCCAACTCATGCGTTTGTGAAAATCTGTAGGACATGAGAATATGCAGAACAGCTTGATTTGGTAATGATGATTGTACTCTTATGTGCTTAATTAACTGCAAAAAACTTAAAATATCTGAAGGATACATCTGGTTAACATGATCCGTAATCTACTCTTCTGTGATCCTGATGGGCATATTTCAGGAGATCCATTAGCCAAACCACTTAGAGATGCACTTTGATTTCAAGAAGCCTGAAGTAGGAATTTCTTTTAATCAGAATTGTAACAGTCTTATTTCCGTTCTACACAAAATTCCATTCTAGGTTCCTTCTGGCTTTCTTCCTTTGGGCAATATAATCTATAGTGGAGGTAAGGAGCGATGTAATTGCTACATTCCAAACATTTGGGAATCAGAAAGCAGTCTCTTGTAAACCTCCTAGGGAATAATTAGTAAGTCCACAGCTGATTTTCGCCCAGCCTGCCATGCAAGGGAACAAAAACCTTCCTGCCACCATCCGTGACTTGCAGTGCTTCAAAAGCTGTACCCTCTAGCCAAGCTAAACATCACAAAGTTTTCTAGGGAAAGAGACAAAAGTAGTTTGCCATTGATCTCTTCTGTGCTGTCTTTGTTACAGTCCTGGGGCCATAGTGGTCTCCCATCTGAGTTCTAATCAGGGCCAGCCACACAGCGGAAGCCATTTGCAAGGACCCAGATATTGGTGAACCAACCTCGTGTTGAAGAGAAAATGTCGATCACGTAGCTGTCTTGAATTCTGCTGACTGTGAAGTATTGGGAGTTGAAGTCCACAGACCTTAAAAATGCTGATCTAAAAGATGCTAAAACTCAATTGTGGGGAAAATAATTGCAAGCGTGGAATCTGCCCATTGCAGCACCCTTTGTTCACATTTGTACGGATGATTTACTGACATTTTCTGAACAGGTGTCTCCACTGATTAATTAACAACATTCACTTTTCTCAAGATTAAGGAAAAAAAATTAAGTTTCCACATTCCAAGATTTCTTGCAATACTTTTTGTTTTCTGATTATATATATAGCCTCCTGAAATGTACTGTAGCTCTTCTGATTCCCAGCAGGCATATTAAACATGTCTGAAAAACAGTTGCTTGAACAGCTGTTTTTATATCAATTTCACATTAAAGTTGAACCCCTGGAAGGTGGTTTTGTGAGGAAGTGCTCTGTTTGGATCGATCCTGAGCTGTATCTGGTTATGCAGTTATATGGTTACACTTTGTATCCTGAGTACTATTCTGTCCTCATTGTCATTGATGCTTCTTAATTGGGGTCCAGCTATGCTAAAATGGCTGTTGTGTCTCTCCATTAACAAAGATTTGGCCCAAATTTGAACAAAACTTGTGATCTCATTGTACACTTGGTTTCCCATGGCTGATTTAACTTGAGGATGGAAGGCAGTGGTGGAATTCAGCCAGTTCGCACCTATCCGGGAGAACCAATTGTTAACTTTCTAAGCAGTTCAGAGAACCGGTTGTTGGAAGAAATCTTATTTTGTTTTTTGTTTTTCACTTTAAAGGGCTAATTCTGTAAGGAAGGCAGGAAGGAAACATTCTGGTGTTGTTCCTAGCCTAATCTTTATTTCCCTGCTTATAGAAACTGCCTCTCCAGTTAATCCTTATTACATCGTAACAGCTAAGGCGAAGCACCCGTTGACGTGAGTGATGTTGAGTTGGCCATGGGCATGGCCAACTCAACATCACTCATGTCAATGGGTGCCACACCCACACGGTCATATGACCACCAAGCCACACATACCCAGCTGGTCATTAGGGCAGAGAACCGGTTGTTAAATTATTTGAACCCCACCACTGGTAGCAGGCACAGCCTGAGCGTCTCAAAGGGAATATTTGATTCTGAGCAAAATCAAATCAAGATACAGGTCTGATGAAAATGCAGAGGGCTATGCAGTCATCATGGTTCCATCTTCCAAACCAAAGCTGGTGCTGACAGGTGTTATTAAATAACACCAAACTCAGATAGCATGTCTCCATTTAATCGTCCCGACTGTGTGAATTACCATGTGAGTTAAAATCAGGAATGAATTTTGTCCCATCATATTTCTCTGTTTACTTCTTCACAGTAGGTATCATGACTGCTTTGTGTAAGATGTGCACAAGGCTCTCAAATACCCCCTTAGAGGTTAAATGGTCTTTTTCTCATATGTCACATTGCCTTGGAATGTGAAAGAGCTGTTAAATCTACCAAGTGTGTTGAGTTTCAGAATTAGGAAATAAACATGTAAAAACCTGGTGCTTCTTAAACACAAGTATTCTATATCATTTGATGTGCTTTTCTTTACCTGGCTTATAATTGTACTTCAGAAATACTTGGATATTGTTGGTTTGCAATATAAAAAACAACGATCCTTGTTGTTGATGGTCCAATACAACACAAATAACACCTACAATGGTATCCAGTGAACGTACCTTAAGAAAGCTTGCTTTGGTCAATGTAGCAGTTTTGAAGTCTTGCACAGATAGTATGGATGTGGTAAGATACCATCATGTATTAAACTAAAACCTCAGCTTCCCTTAACATTTTGAATAAGGTAACATCAACCAATGTTCCTAAAATGAACATTTATGCTCATTCTTCCATGAAAAAAAATGTAACAATCATCCCTATGGCCTAAAGATTCTTAGATTCTTCTTTTTTTTAACCAAGAAGGTTTTAGAACTCAAAGAGTCAGTTTTCTAGGGCATAAGGAACTCTCTTCTTATCTTTTCAGCA